GTACACTCACTCCATTGTAGCAAGAACAAGAGAAAGGGAGAATATTCCAGTTACTGACTCACTCCCTAGATGGCTGCAACAGCCAGCACCGAGCCAGGAACTAGAAGCTTTGTTCAGGTCTCCCTTGCAGTGACAGGGACCCAGATTCTTGAGCCATCTTCTGCTGATTTTCCCAGGCCTTTAGCAGGGAGCTGGATCAGACGTGGTGGGGCAGGTCCAGCACAGCAGTCCAGCAGCTCATCTTGCAGGTGCCAGGATCCCCTATGGGCACTGGTTCTAATCAGGAAGCCCTGCTTCCCTTCCAGCTCCCTGCTTGTGGCCTGGGAAAGCAGTCGAGGACGGCCCAAAGCCTTGGGACTTTGCACTCGCGTGGGAGACCTGGAAGAAGCTCTTGATTTCTGGCTTTGAATCGGCTCATTTCCAGCTGTTGCAGCCATTTGGTGAGTGAATCATTGGATGGAAGATCTTCCTGTCTATTTCTTCTGCTCTCTGTGTGTCTGACTTTGCAATAAAAAGAAATTCAATCTTAGAAACCAATATAAAACAAACAAACAAACAAGGAGTGGAGTGGCCAGGACATGATCCAGTGCCCATAAAAGATAGCAGTATCTTAGACAGTGCCTAGTTTTCCCTTTCACTGGCTCTCTCCCAAAATGGCCACAGCAGCAGGTTTTGGGCCAGTCTGAAGCCAGGTGCCAAGAGCTTCTTCTGGATCTCCCTTGTGGGTGCAGGTACCCAAGGATCTGGGCCGTCCTCTGCTGCTTTCCCAGACCATTAGCAGGGAGCTGGATGGGAAGCGGGGCAGCTGGGACTGAGCTGTGCTGCATGGGATGCCAGCAGTGCAGCTGAATTCCCAGCCTGTTGTGCCACAGTGCTGGGCCGTAGCGTTTCCTAACAAGGAGAAGAAAGGGCTGGAGCAAGCACAAGGCCTCTCTTCCAGAATGTAGTGTCTTTCCTCATGTTAGGATGCATTGAGATGCCTGCTTCTAGGTGCCCCATCCCACAGACCCACAAGCTCTTAAGCATGCTTGCAATCTGCATAAATTGCCCACTCTATTGTTTTTTTGACACAGTGAACAGACTAACAGAGGGGCTTATGCAATCACCTGAAAATATGGAACAAGCTGCAATGGCCAAGACAGGGCCGATCTGAAGCCAGGGCCTAATGGTCCATCAGGATGGCCCACACACATAAGAGGGTCCCAAGTATGGGCAGCATTTTTATTGCCTTTCCAGGCACTTTCAAGGAAGCTGTGTTGAAAGCAGCACAACTGGGACTCCAAGTGTGGGATGCTGGGACTTAACCCAGAGCTCCACAGTGCTGGGCTCTGTGCTTATACACTTTCCAGTCACAACACATTTCTGATAATTCATTTTTCAAAATATTTATTCATTTATTTGAAAGAATTACAGAGAGGTAGGAGTGAAAGAGACAGAGATATGTTCCATTGACTGGTTCACTTCCCAGATGGTCTCAACAGCTAGGCAGGCCAAAGCCAGAAGCCAGGAGCTTCTCTCCACATCTTCCAAGTAAGTAACAGGAGGCCAAACACTTGGGCCATCTCTGGTGGCTTTTTCCAGGCCATTAACTGGGAACTGATCAGAAGTGGAGCAGGGCCCAGCACTGTGGCATAGCAGCCTAAGCTTTTACCTGTGGTGCCAGCATCTTGTCTGAGTTCTGGCTGCTCCACTTCTGATCCAGCTTCCTGCTAATGCACCTGGGAAGCAGCAGAGGAGTACCCAAGACTTTTGACCCCTGCACCCATGTAGGAGAACTGCAGGAAGCTCCTGGTATTGCACTGGCACAGCTCTAGCCATTACGGCCATTTGCAGAGTGAATCAGAGAATGGATTCTCTGCTTCTTTCTTTGTGTAACTACCTTTCCAATAAAAACGAAAATAAATCTTTAAAAGTAGTGGAGCAGCCAGGACATGAACCAGTGCCCGTATTGTAAATCCCACAGCTTCACCTGCTATGCCACAGTGCTACCCCTCAAAGTCTTGTCTTTGTCTGAGGACCATCTTCCACTGCTTTCCCAGGTTCATTAACAGGCAGCTGTATCAGAAGGGAAGCAGCCAGGAATCTTCCTGTCCTATTGCTACCCGCTCCTGCTGCTCACTGTGACACTTGCTGGCAGTGGCCAGTAATGCCCATGCTGCAGTCCCCACGTCTTCCCGCCAGGAAGTCTCCCCAGGAAAACGGTCCTCACGTGGAAGGGGCACTCGGTTCTCAGCCAGGCATCCCCCCGGCCCCTCAGTGCCCTCCTTCAGCACGCCTGCAGTGACTCTTGCTCATCTGTCTCTGTCCCCCGGCCTGAACCCGCTCTTTAGGGGGAGGTAAGGAACTCTGCTCTGGCTGTCATGGTGCAAGGATCAACTTTGTGTAATAGCCTCTCATCAGTTCAGCCAAAGTATCCAAGATAAGCTATGAAGGTTAAGCTAGGTCCATGGTTTAGCAGTTCAAAGGTCAAAATTGTGTCAGATGTGGGTGGAAACAGCCTGGGGCACAACGTGTGCCAAGGAAGCAGCCCTGGAAGGCCTGTAAGCAGAGGTGGAATGCCTGGCCACCCCGGCCTCGTGCAGCCAACCCGCTCATGAGCACTGCCTGCTAAGGGCACCTGCCCAGAGACCCAGGGTCTCCCGCTAGGCTTGCCTCCAGGACAGTCCTGGCTCAATCCTCCACCTTTAATCCATCAGCCCTGAGTGTTAATCTATCAACTCGTCGCTAAGACTTTGAAGGGGCCAAGTCATATTCAAGCTGCAGCACCAGCTACCAGCCACCTCACTGTGTCCTCGGTGAGAGCGATGGAGCGACAATGGACAGTGGCAGAGACCATGTCCTGGTGGCTCTTCTTATGAGGACGCTACTCACGTTGGGTTGGCATCCCTCCCTTACGTCCTTACCTACCACTAATCACCCCATAAAGACCCCTTCTCCAAACAAAGCTGCGTTTGGGGCTAGAACTTCAACAGACGATGGAAGGCAGGGGATCCAAGCACCCAGTCCCTGATGGGCAAGTGGGAGCAAGCACTGGAACAGGGTGGTCCTAGCTTTAATGAAAAAAAAATGAGAAAAAAATAAAGAACCAGTGAATCAGTGAGGAATTATAAGCAGAGCACGTAGCAAGTACATCTGGGGAAGCACAGAGGAAGACGGAGGCCATGGGAGGAAATGAGAGGGCACACGGCTGAAAGGTTCCCAGGTCAGACTGGAACCCAGAATACACGTGTTCATGGAGCCCCTGATTCACACGCGGAGTAAACTCAAAGAAACCCCTTGGAGACACACTGTAGTCCGATAGTGAAGCCCAAAGCCAGGGAATATTGGGAGCAGTGACTTATGCACAAGGAGTTCTCAAAGTGACGAACTATACTCAGACAAATGGAGGCCAAAGGCAGGACTGGAAGACGTCACTGCTCAGATGTCCCTACTATGCCAAGTGACTTACAGATTCATCAAAATTGCTGTAAATCCCAACAGCGTTATTTTGTAGACATAACAAAAATCAATGCTAAAATTCATATGGAATCATGAAATACCCCAAATACCCAGTCCAGTTTGGTTCAAGAAATGAGAAGTCAGAATTCATAATTTCAAAACTTGGTAACCAAAGTGACAGTAACCAAGACAGTGTGGTTCTGACTGGCAGAAAGAAGGTAAAGATAGAAGGCTTAGAAAATTGGGGCCAGTGCAGTCAGACCACTGTCTGTGAGGCCAGAATCCTATATGGGCACTGGGTCTGGTCCTGGCAGCTCTACTTCCAACCCAGCTGCCCCCTAGTGACCTGGGAAGAACAGCTGAGGATGGCCCAAAGGTTGGGTCCCTGTCACCCACATGGGAGACCCAGATGAAGCTCTTGGCTCCTGGCCCAGCCTTGGCTGTTGGGCTGTCTGGAGGAGTGAGCCAGGGGATGGAAGATCTTTCTGTCTCTGTCGCTCTCTTTTTCTGTAACTCTGTCCCCGCCAGCGGCCCCTGGACTGCACTTTCTGATGGCAGGCCTTCCCATGCCTAAGTCCCTACCCCACGGTGCAGGCCAGTGTGACCTGGAGCAGGACACTGGACTGGAGCAGTCTGACCTTGGGCAGGGCAATCAACCCCAACCAGTGACTGACCCCCACAAAGTCCTGCACAGCAGGCTCAGGCACTGCCCTGGCTCCCAGCCCTCTCCACCCCATCACACAGTGCTGGGAGCACTCAGTGCTGTGTGGATGAGTCCCCAGGAGGGACAGGCTGGACACTCAGGTCTGGATTTGCTCAGTGCAGCCCCGTGTGCCTTCCACCACTCCTGACTTCCATCTCTGTCCTTTGTTATAATGAACTGTAAGAGTGAGCAACAGAATTCCTGATTCTGTGAGGGCTTCTAACAAGTCAGGGAGCTCAACTAGCCAGGGCAGGTGCTGAGCATTCGCCCAACACACGCTCATTTCATTTCTTGGGCTCCCGCATACCTGAACTGGCCTTTTTCTGCTACCTTCAACATCACGAACCGGGTTGGAGATGGAGGCGATGTGTGACTGAGAGAATAAGACATGAGATGGACGCAAGATAAAGATTATAGAATTTGGTAGGCAGAGGGAAGGAAGAGAAGCTGACCTGGAAGGCTCTCTGCCTCAACCTTTTGTTGAAATGCTTTGGAAGCCTAATGGAGCCTGATGGGGCACAAATTCTGATAGTCACACCTGTATTGATTTAAGCAGCCAACTGCTGGCCAGGCAGGAAGCAACAGCATGGCCCAAGTACAGAGGTCAGGGCGTGACTGCATGGATCGCTCAAGCTCACAGTTCTGTGGTCTTGGACTGGCACCCAACTGACTGGCACCCTCAGGTCTTCTCTCCATGGGCACTAGTTCCTGTCCCCATACCCTCTCTCTCTTTATGTTTCTGCCTGCACCGCTCTGTGTCTGGCTTTGTCTTTTCCTCTACTTCAGAATTTCTTCCTTTTAAAATTTCAATCTTAAAACAGAGAAAGAAGATTAAAGAGAAGAATCTACATGGTAGCGGCGAACTGTTTTATTGTGGATCAAGGCTTGCAGAGAAGTGGGTTAGGGACTCACTGTCCCCCAACTAGCGAACTGCAGCACAGAGCTGGTAGGGGGGCGGGGTCACCAGTGTGCCAGGGACCCCGTGGTCGCTGGGCCGGGGCTGCCCCGCGGGCACCGAGAACGTGAAGCGCTGCAGGAGGCAGGTGAAGAAGAGGAAGAGCTCCATGCGGGCCAGGGGCTCCCCGAGACACACACGGCGACCTGTGGGTGAGTCAGGGGCTCAGTCAGCCTGGGCTCTAACCCTCCCCTCTCCCCAGGGACAGGGGCAGCAGGCAGCACCCCAGGCACCTGTGGAGAAAGGCATGAAGGCCTCCTTCTTCACAAAGTTGCCCTGAGCATCGAGGAAGTGTTCCGGATAGAAGCGGAAGGGCTTCTCCCAGGTGTCCTCATCCTTCAGCACCGATGACAGGTTGGTGAAGAGCACTGTCCCCTGGGCCGAAGAGCCTGGCTTGAGTCGGGGCAAGGCTAGGGCATGGGCCTCTCCTCAGGTCACAGGCACAACCTGGACTCCTCCTGGACTCCTTCAAGGGACCCTCAGCCCAAGAACTGCTCAGACCCTCACCCTTGCCTGAGTCCTGCATCCCAGCTCCCAAGGCACCCTCACTGTCCCCCGTCCCAGCAGCAGTTCACTCCTAGGCCACATGTGACACATTCAGCTTTGTCCTCCTCACTGCCTCCCCACTCCCTGGGGTCTCTTTGTAGACAGGACGGGCCCTATTTCTGCTTTGTACCCACCCAACTCAGGCTGGACCAGTGGGTGCCTGAGGCATGGCCGACTTTGTGGCCTGGGCTCCACCCACCTCACTGTGAGAGCACATGGGACCACCAGGTGGCCCTGGCCTACCTTGGGGATGAGGAAGCCCCGTACTTCTATGTCACGCGATGTCATGTGGGGTGAACCAAGTGGCCCAATGCTGGCAAAACGTAGCACCTCGTGGACCACAGCACAGGTGAAGGGCATGCGGGCCTGGTCTGCCATCTCTGGTGGCCGCACCTGCCCTATGACCTCATCGATCTCCTGCTGGACACGGCCTGCACAGACAAGGGTCCCCACAGCAGCTCAGCACCCTGGAGCTGAGCCTGGAAACACTGCTGCCTCCTGTGGAGGAACTGTTCCCACAGGTGGAGGAGGGCACTGTGGCAGGAGGCTTCCCCTGGCCTGTGCTCAGAGCCACAGGAGTCCAGGTCAGCTCAGAGGCCTTTGAAGGACCCACATCCCACCCTCTACCCCAGCATTCCCAGGGGGCTCACGCTGCACTTCCGGGTGCAGGACCATGAGCAGGAGGGCCCAGTCCAGAGTGGTGGCTGAGGACACCATCCCAGCTATGAACAGGTCACCAATCACCACACTCAGGTTCTCATCATTGAAGCTGCTTTTGGGGTCTCCCTTGGCCTGTGTGGGAAAAAATGGGGGCAGGTCTGAGATGACCACGGTGACTGGCAGGGCTCACGGACCATCGCCTGTGGGTTCATCCTCCTACCTTCTGCACCTCGGCCAGGTAGGCGTCAGTCAGGTCTCGGGGTGGCTGCGTGGGGTCCCACGTTCTGCGGTGCTCAGTCTCCAGCTTGTACAGCATGGCCCCGAGGGCTTTGTGTCCCGAGAAGAACCTGTCGAGCAGCCCCGGGATGCGCAGGAGCACGGGGACTGCGTTCAGCACCTGTGGGCTCACAGAGCGGCCTCAGTCTGCTGTGCTGGACTCAGCTCCATCCTGGCAGGAGCCCCCACTCCAGGGTGGACCAGGGCCTGGGTGTCCCCTCTAGTGAGTGGCTGCTTCCCCCAGCTGCTATGCCTTCCTGCCCTCTCTGGCCCTGCGGTGCAGAAGGACAGACCTACACTCCAATCTCAGGTGCTGTGAGGCTCCGACCCTACACAACTGCCAGCTTCCTAAGCCCACACCCCATCGCCGCCTCCTGTGCCCCCCAGCTCTAGTTCTTTCCTGGTGTTGCGACTGCTCCCAGAGCACGCTTTCCACATGAGCTCCTATGCAACCCTTGACACCCAATGCCCCTCCATCCTGCAGCTGGGGCTGCAGATCCTTGCCCGCCCAGCAGTCTCATGCGATCCCCGTACTGAGTGGACAGGGCCTGATGCCTCCTGCATCATGGCCTGCACTAGGCCCAGCAGCCTGATGAATTGCGGGTCATCATACTCAAAGCGACGCCCATGGGTAAGCGAGGCGATGACGTTGCACACGGCTTTGCTCAGGAGCTCCTTGGGGCTGAAGGGGCGTCCTGGGGGGCAGAATTACAATAAAGGCACTCACTGCCTTTATCCTGGCCACCAAGCCCACCTTTGCTCAGCCCATCACTCACCTGCTTGGTCAGAGAAGGCAGCACAGAGGCAGGCGGCCTCCTCGGTCACCCACTGCTCCAACGACTTCTTGCCCAGGCCGAAGTTGCGCAGAGTGGACATGCAGAAGCAGCGCTGCTCCCGCCAGGCAGGGCCATAGGGTGCCATGATTACCCCTGGGAGAGTGGGGCCGGATCCTGGGTGGGATCTGTGGCCTGGCTGCCCCTGCCCCTTGCCCTTTGCCCCGCCCCATTGCATCTCTCCCACTTCTTGGTCACCTGTGCCCCAAACTCAAATTTCTTCACCGCCAGCCCGGGCTGTCACTGATCTGTCCTTGCCCCCTCTCTTGCTGTGTTCACTGTCCCCTCACTGTGCCAGGGCTCCGCTTCCCCAGTCTCCTGGCCATGCCTTGCCTTGGCAGTGCGGCTTTATGCCCAGGTGCTCGTAAACGGGCATCAGAGGGCGGTCCGAGGTGTCTTCACCGCAGGTCACCAGTGCCTCGTGCACGGCCACCGGCCCATTGAGCACGACCACAGGGGTCCAGGCCAGCTGCAGGCTGAACACGTCCCCGTAACGTTGCCGCAGCTGTAGAGGGAGGCCCAGCACAGGTCAAGCTGGGTCCCCGGTGACAGCTGCTCCCACTGGCACCACACAAGGCTCGGGGGTCATAGCCTCAGCGGGAGCCAACGCCAGGAAGAGATGTGGTTTCTCATGTTGGGGCCCAGTCTGCCGTTTTGGGAGCATTTGAGCATCCAGCCATGACCTTGAGGGCTTCCCCAAAGTCCTGGGTAGATGCCAGGGACATCCCAATGGACAATGAAGGAACCGAGGTCCGTAGGCACAAGCCCTGAGGACCCTGGCTTCACCGGTCGGGTCAGATTTCAACCAGGTCACGGCTTCCTTCTCGATGCTTGTTTCCTGTTGTGGAGCTGACCCCACCTCCCACCTCCAAGGTCTGTCCTCTGATGACATCTAAGGAGACTTGGGGCCGACACAACACATGTGTCCCTCCGAACCCCAAACCTGCCTCTGAATGCACCCATCGGCAATATCTGCAGTGTCCCCAGAGCCCCCTATGGGGCCTGACCCCTGGGCCTGCTCTCGTCCGGCCCGTGGAGTCTCCCTCCCAGCCTGTCTGCAGCTCAGAGTCCTCTCCAGCCGACACCTCCTCTGTCTTACCTTTCTGAAGTAGTTTGTGGGATCCCGGAGGTCCACCTGCAGCAGGTGGCCCAGGCCAGGCAGTCCCATGGGGCCCGGTGGGTAGCGTGAGGCCCAGCGCTGGCGCCGGTGCATCAGGTCCACCAGGAGCAGGAAGATGGCCACGGTTATGGCCAGGGGCGTCAGGGCATCCCCGGTCAGCAGCCCCATGGCTGTCTTGTTGATCACTTGGTTCCTATGGCCACACGTGCCACCCCTAGGATCCCAGGAACCTCGGCAGACCCCTGCAGGACACGTTCAGCCTCCTCCAGGGCTCCCCAAGTGCAGGCCAGTGCCTTTAAGGGAGCTAAGATGGGACTTTGACCCTCTGACAGCATGGACGCTGCTGAGAGCGCTGGGCGGGTGGGGCGGAGCAGAGAGGGAGGGAGGGCGGGGCGAGGGCGGGACCGAGGGTATGGGGCGGGGCGAGGGCGGGGCCGAGGGTATGGGGCGGGGCGAGGGCGGGGCAGGGCAGGGCGAGGCCGGGACGCGCAGGCGCACAGCTGACTGCAGAGGCCGGGAGGGGTCGGGCAGGCTCCCTGTGTCGCTCCTTCCTTCCTGCCCGCCGGCGCCGCAGGGGAGCGAAGCGGAGAGGGGAAGACCCCAGATCCGTGGACTCCCCAGCCTGGGGAAGCTCTTTGGAGCACCAGGGACGGTCAGCTCCCTGCCTGTTCCTGCCATCAGGCTCGCGCCAACTAATGTCTCTCCCAGAACACGTCCCTGTTCAGCCGGCCCCTCACCTCAGTTGTCACCCACCCCGGCCTGAGGGTGTCATCTCACAGCCACCGGAGGGGCCACGGGAGACCAGGAGGAGGGGATGAGTTCTCCGCGTGTCCCCTCCACCTCCTGCTGGCACACCCGACTTGCACAGACACGAATACGCAGCTCACCTACAGGCACAAGCCTCGGACTCCCACCACACACCCCAGAGCGACTCACACCCCTGCAGAGCCAGCCAGCCCCGAGGTCCCTGCTGCTCGGGTGTGTTCAGAACAGAACATCCTGTTCCCTGGGAGGCTCAGGGCTTCACCCACCTCCCTGCACTATTAAAATAGAATAGAATAGAATAGGATAGACTAGGATAGGATAGAATAGAATAGAATAGAATAGAATAGAATAGAATAGAATAGAATAGAATAGAATAGAATAGAATAGAATAGAATAGAATAGAATTAGAATTAGAATTAGAATTAGAATAGAATAATAGAAATAAAGTGCGACTTAACAGTAGGGCAGCTTGCCTGGAATCTTGAGTTCACCGCCTGCTGCTGCGGGACACTGGGGTCGAGCTCTGCAAAGTCCATCAGAGAGCAGAAGTCCAAGAACGAGGTGGAGGCCTGCGGACGAGGGTCCGCATCGGGGCCACAGAACCCTGTGCCTTCAGAAGTCCTTGGGACAGTCACGCAATGCCTTCCGTACCTGATCTCCGAGCACTGGCTGTTCACCATGGGCATGCTGCATGGCTCTCAGAGTTCCGCATCAGTGCCTATAACTTGACTCACTGATGCTTGAGGCAGTGAGCTTTCTAGGTCTGCGTCCCTCCCTTAGAGAAGAGAACTTCCCGCTGGCCACCTGCTTTTACAATCTTTAGCTCTAACCCTGTGTGCGCCACTGTGGGCAGCAGTAGGCTAGTCACTCAGGTCAGGTGGTGGACTTTGAGGTTATAACACAGTCTCCCAGCCCTCTCTCCACACTGGCCACTATGTCCCCTCTTCCCACGCCGGATGTGGTTTGTCCACCAAGGCTCTGTGAGTGGGCTTGGTCCCCTGGACGGCAGCATGGAAGGTGCTGTTGGACTAGAGGGATCCTTAGGTCCGTCAAGGATGCTGGTTTCAGGAGGCACTAGGGTGGTGGTCCCAGTGCCAAGCCCGGGCCGCTCCTTCCACATGCTGCGACGGAAGCCTGTGCCAGCTCCACCCTGCGCTCTGGGCATGTCGCCTCGTGGATTCCTTCCTTCCCACCCGCTCTGGAACCCGTGCTCTGTGGGGTTTGCACCCCCTTCCTCTGCAGCACCAGTGTGACTCAGCGATGCTGAAGGCAAGCTCACTCACCCACCCCGGCTCCTGGCTCAGCGGATTCTGCTGGGAATTGGCACGTCAGGGGCTTGAGGGTCCCCTGACTGTGACGAGTGGGCTCCTCCTTGCTGCCTCAGAAACGCTCTGTGATTGCATCCAAGCAGCTCAAGGTCTGGTGCAGTGTGCTGGTCTCCCACAGCAGTGCTGGCTGTAGCACTGCCCGGACCCTCCGAGAGGCAGCCCTGCTGGCGCAGCTGGGAAAGCAGCACCAGATGGCCGCGTGCCTGAGCCTGTCCTGACCAGGTGAAGCCCCTGGCCTCAGCCTGCTGATGCCCTGGCTGTTGTGGCCTCTGTCCTTGTGTTTCAAGTAAATAAATAGATATTTGAAAAAAAGAAAGGAGTCTTCCTCCAGGTACTTGAAGCTAATGGAGAGTTTCCATGTTTTCTTGTTCCAGTACTTTACAGCGTTTCTGTCTTTGAGCAGCAGAAGATGGCCCGATTGCTTGGGTTCCTGCAACCCCGTTCAGAGACCAGAGAAAACTCCTAATTACCGGCTTCGAACCAGCCTGGCTCTGGCTGTTACAGCTGTTTAGGGAATGAGGAAGCAAATAGACAGTCTCTGTCATGCCTTCTTTCTCTACTTCTCTACCTTTCTAATAACAGTAAATAAGTCTTTTTTTAAAATGAGAGAAGTAGTGACCACTGTTAAGCTGCGGACACTTCTTGAGGACATGACACGATAAGAAACAAGCCGGTCAGGGAGGCCCCGGGTGTGCGTACCAGGCATGACTGCCCTCTAGTGGTCAGAGTCCCGAACGGGAAGGCACCGTAGTGGCTGCGGGGGAGGGGAGGGGAGAATGGCGAGGCGTGGTCTGTGGGGGTGCAGCTCAGTGTGCAAGATGAAGAGAGCTGTGTGAGTGACAGCTAGGTTGTCTGAGACCCCGGGGATGCATGACCCAAAGATCAGAGCTGTCTGAGTTCTGACCTCACCAGTTGCGCGTTGGGCCAGCTCCTTGGTAGGCTCTATGCTGTAGGGCAGCACCAGAGATAAGTCAGCCTCTCAGGGCTCCAACCTAAGACCTCAAATACCTCTGCAAAGGCAAAAAGAACCCAGCAACATCTCAGAGGAGCGAGGGTCGTGAGGGGACACACGTCGGCACTGGCCAGGAATTCTCCGGCTCAGGGAGGGAGCCGTTAGACGAGAGAGGCACAGATGCCTGAATCTGGGTCAGGCAGGACCCGCGTCCCTGCTCAGCAGAAAGTAGATTACAGAAGTTGGGGGGAATCCACATGCATCAGTAACCCTCAGGATTAGGTTGGAGATCTGTGAGGGAGGAAAGAAATGGGTGTAGGTAGTGAGCTTAGGGTCACCAGCTTGGAAGCCACCACACACCCTCTGTAAGCCTTTTGCCAGCCAGTGAGACCTTCCCAGGATGTACCCTCACCTGGGACCTGGGGGCTCCGGAAGAAGCCTGCTGTTGGAGAGGGGTGCTCTCACACCGTGGAATCAAAGCAGAACACATTGGAGAACAGGCTGGCCAACCCGGCTCTTCCACAGGTCCACACTATAAACTCATCTATTCTAACACTAGCCCGCCTTAATTCAATTCCTGCATCGCCTCAGGAACACTTGTTCTGGCTCCCTGCTCATAGCCTGGGGCAGCAGTGCAAGCTGACCAGGAGGATAAACTTGTGCTCGTCTAACCCCAGGGAAGGAGCCCCACGTGGAGCTCCGGGCTCTGGCTTTGGGCTGTTACACTCTGCCATTGTGGTCAGAGGTGGGTGAGCAAGGAGAGAGAAGATCTGTCTCTCTCACTCCCTCTATCTGTAACTCTGCTTTTCAAATGAAAGTTATAAAACAAAGAAAAACGAAGTTGAAAGGGAAACAATGCCATGGGAGTCAAGAGACTGCCACCAGGGAGTGGCCCTTGGCACAGCTCCCTGAGCCCGCTCGCTCCCTTCAACCTATACCCACCTGCATGCCCAGAGAAGGCGGCACGGGGCAGGCGGCCTCCTCGGTCACCCACTGCTCCAGTGGCTCCTTGCCCAGGCCGAAGTTGCGCAGGGTGGACATGCAGAAGCCTGTTGTACGCCACGATCACCTTGAAGGAGGAGGAGGAGCCAATCGTGGGGGTGGCGTGAGCTCTCTGTACCCATCCCACCTCTGTCAGGCCCCCAGCAAGCCTGCCTTCCTGTCAGCTGCCCCCTCTGGGTCCGGGTGCACAGGCCACACCCACAGTCCTAGGCGCCCTGCTTCCAAGTCCTGAGGGATGACTGGGGAACATGCTCACCAACCAGGACCTGCATGAAGACTGCTCCCACACACCCATCTCACCGTGTGCTCCGCTAGCTGCAGTAAGAATGCTGGCAGCTTCTGTCGTCAGCACACGCATCCGGAGTGCGTGACACACAGGCCGTCTCTTCGAGATCTGGATCATCGTAACCTGAACGCAGCCCAGTGGTCAGGTAAGGCCGATGAGACAACGGTGCGGATGACATAAGGCATGCACTCCGAGGTCTCATTTGAATTAAGAGCTGCCCAGGAAGGCAGGAGTGAACCACACACAGCACAGGAGCTGGGACACTGCTTTACTGGGATTGGGACTCGCAGATCCCTCCTAGCGGGCTACAACAGAGCTGATCAGGAGCTGTGTCTGAACCTCGTGGACCACGGTGCAGGAGAAGGGCGTGGACCACGATGCAGGTGAAGGGCATGGACCAGGTGCAGGTGAAGGGCGTGGACCAGGTGCAGGTGAAGGGCGTGGACCAGGTGCAGGTGAAGGGCGTGGACCAGGTGCAGGTGAAGGGCGTGGACCAGGTGCAGGTGAAGGGCGTGGACCACGGTGCAGGTGAAGGGTGTGCAGGCCTGGTCCGCTGTCTCTGGCCACTGCTCCTGCCCTATTACCTCATCAATCTGTTGGACAGAGCAAACCCCCTGATGGCAGTCTTCTGTGCCTACCGAGCATTTTTTTTTCCTTTAATGCTGTTATTGAAATTTATGTTTATTTGAAAATTAGAGAGAGAGGGAGCGGGATCTTTCCATCTCTTGGCCCTCTTGCCTGTGGCTGCATCACGAGGCTGCACTGAGCCAGCCAGGAGCCAGGAGCCATGTGCATGTTGCCTTAGTGGGGGCGCTGGAGGTTCACGCACTGGATCATCCTCTGCTTCCTCAGGTCGCAGCTGGAGGCCTAGCATTGTGGAGCTGAGCTCTTGT